TCATGGCTCACTGCAGCCTCAAACTCCCAGGCTCAAGCAATCCTCCTGCCTCAGCCTCCTAAGTAGAAGGAATTACCAGAGTATACCACTATGTGTGGCTATTTTTTTTTTTTGAGACAAAGTCTGGCTTCGTCACCTGGACTGGAGTGCAACGGCACGATCTTGGCTCACTGCAACCTCTGCCTCCCGGGTTCAAGTAATTCTCCCATCTCAGCCTCCTGAGTAGCTGGGACTACAGGCATGCACCACCACAGCCAGCTAATTTTTGTATTTTTTGTGGAGACAGAATGTTGCTTTTTTACCCAGGCTGGTCTTGAACCCCTGGCCTCAAGTGATCCTCCTGCCTTGGCCTCCCAAAGTCCTGCGATTAGAAGTGTGAGCCACCTCACCCAGTCAGTTATTGGCTTTTAAAGGAGCTGAGTATTGAGGTTTATAGTTTCAGATGAGGTAGTAGCAACAAGCCACTTGATGGGAATATTTATATTTTTCATCCTATTATGAAAAATTTTCAAATATTCACAACATAGAAAGAATGACAGCCCCACAGGCAGCCGCCTCCCAACTTCAACCTTTGGTCATTTTTGTTTCATCTCGATGTCTTTTCCCTCTTCCCACTTGTTACTTCTTTTTGTTTTGTTTTGTTTGTTTGTTTGTTTGTTTGTTTTGGCCTGGAGTATTTCATAGCAATTTAATTATGTTTTGTTTGTTTGTTGGAGATGGAGTCTCACTCTGTCACCCAGGCTGGAGTGCAGTGGCGCTATCTGGACTCACTGCAGCCTCCACCTCCCAGGTTCAAGTGATTCTCCTGCCTCAGCCTCCCAAGTAGCTGGGATTATGGGTGTGCACCACCATGCTTGGCTAATTTTTGTTTTGTTTTGTTTTGTTTTTTGAGACAGAGTCTCACTCTGTTGCCCAGGCTGGAGTGCAGTGATGTGATCTCAGCTCACTGCAACCTCCCTGTCCCGGTTCAAGTGATTCTCCTGCTTCAGCCCCCCAAGTAGCTGCAACTACCAGGCACGCCACCCATGCCTGGCTAGTTTTTGTATTTTTAGTAGAGACGGGTTTCACCATGTTGACCAGGATGGTATCGATCTCTTGACCTGCAGTCCGCCCACCTTGGTGGGATTACAGGCATGAGCCACCATGTCAACTTTTGTTTTGTTTTGTTTTGTTTTGTTTTCGAGACTGAGTTTCGCTCTTGTTGCCTAGACTGGAGTGCTATGGCGCTATCTCAGCTCACTGCAACCTCTGCCTCCTGGGTTCAGGCAATTCTCCTGCCTCAGCCTCCTGAGTAGCTGGGATTACAGGCATG